TACTGCGTCCGGTATTCCCGACCGAGCCGATCGTCGTGCGGGCCGCGACGACATCTCCGGGCCGCACTGCAAAGCTGTCCAAATGCGCGTAAACCGCATAGAGACCCAGCCCCGGCCGGCTGCCCGATCCCAAGCGCTGCATGACCACGCGCCCGAACGTCGGATGCGTTGCGGCACGTGCGATGGTGCCAGGTCCGACCGCCTGGACGCGAGTTCCGACCGGTGCCGGGAAATCGACTCCGGCATGCCAGCCACCGCCCCGGGGTCCGAAACCGCTGCTGACAGCAGGAAGCGGATCGAGTGGTGACACGCCACAGATGATCGGGACCGGTGCTTCGACCGTGGTCGTAACGCAGAGCGCCAACACCGCACAGCGCACAGCGGCTTCCAGAAGCTTTTTCGTTTTGAACACGACGCCTGCTGATCATGAAATCTCAGTCGACGCCGACTCTATTGAAATAGAAACTCCAAGCTATTTTATGAGAACCCGAAATCGCACAGGGGTTATGAAGTGGTTATTTGATGAGATAAGAAATGAGAGTGATGGCTGCGCGAAGGCCAAAAGACGTCACACACCGACCGTCCGGGGGTCTTTTGCGAAGGCGGGCTCTTCCGAGCGTTGACTTCGCCCGCGCAACGAGGTTAGGCCACCTTCTCCGTCGGACCTTCAGTGCAGTCTCGCAGGATGATGCGGTCTGAGGGAAAGTACATAGTCGCAACGGTGCCGCGATCCGGCTGACTGGCTAGCTCGAGACGGCCGCCGTGTAAACGCATCAGATCGCTGGCGATAGCCAGCCCGAGGCCCGTGCCACTGCGGCTATCGGCAACACCGGGGCTGAGAGTCTCATAAGGCTGCATCAGGCGCTGGATTTCCGTTTCAGGAATTCCTGACCCGGTGTCCGTCACGCTCAAACTCAGCGCGCCGCTTTCGAGATGACAGGCCGACACTCGAATCTGGCCGCCGGACGGAGTGAACTTCGCCGCGTTGGAAAGAAGATTGATCAGGACTTGGCGAATCTTAAGCGCATCGCCGATGAGGCATGGCAGATCATCGCGCAGGTCGCAGACCAGGGTGACACGAGCCTGATCGGCCCGGTCGCGCATCATAGCCAGCGCCGCTTCAGCCGTCGTAGCCAAATCGACGTTGCTCTCCTCCAGCTTCATCCGTCCTGCCTCCGCCCGTGACAGATCGAGCAGGTCGTTCACTAGGTTGAGCAAATGCTCTCCGCTTCGACGAATGTCCCGGACATATCCCCGATACCGCGGACTGCCAAGCGGCCCGAAGAGCTCGTGCTCAAGCGTGTCGGAAAAGCCGATAATGGCATTCAACGGCGTCCGCAGTTCGTGACTCATAGAGGCGAGAAAGTTGCTTTTGGCGCGACTGGCTTTCTCGGCTTTCTCGGCCATCTGACGGGTCTCTTCGCGCGATATCTCGAGCTCGTCGATCGACTGAACGATCTTTCGCGCCAAAGGTCGAAATATGAAAATGGCTTCAAGCAGAAGCAGGGTGAGCATTGCGATAAAGAGACCGATCTCGAACGTTTTGAGCCAGCCGATCGTTCCGTCGCGCTCGCTTGCCAGGAGGTCGGAAATCAAATCGTAGCCTTGAGGAATGAAGTTCATCCCGGCGAGATTCAGCGCCAGAAGCTCTGCATGATCGCGCCGTACCTCACTGGGCGGCAACTCATAGAAGGTCCGAGCATGCGCAATGAAACGTCGAACTTGCTGATCGAAGGGGTTGCTGCCCGTCAAGAAAAGCCGTCGCACGCGTGCGACGTCTTTGGAGGAGATTCCCAGCTCGGCGTCGCCCTGCATCAGTAGGTTCTGGCGACGCTCCATGGCTTCGATGCTGCGCAGCAGTTCACGCTTGTAGTCAGACCGGTCCTGTTCATTGGTCGCCGCCACATAGGCGTTGGCGAAGAACGCCAAGCGCTGACTCTCGGCCTGCTGCTGGATCACAAGACGGAGGAGATCGGCCTGTTTCTCCTCGGCGGAGATTGTAATCACCAGGATGGCAAAGGCACCTGCGGAGAGCGAGGCGATGAGCGCCAGGGCCAGACCGTAACGCCACACAATCGCGGAGGCCAATCGCCGTTGCAGGCTCGCCATGTTTCCGGACCCTTTGCCGAGCCGCCCTCGAATGCAGCGCTGCGCCAAGGTCTAGAGCGCATATCTAAAGATAGAATTGACGACGCCGATACTATCTTTAGTTACAGTCCCGTGACGCCTCCACTTCTGTCCTGGGACACCTGGGAGCCACGCACGCCCAGTCGATGCGGGAACTCGCAATCCTGCTCTCGGCTTTCAGTCATTCGTCGAGATCCGACGAAAGTGCCCACTTAGAGAAGATGAACGTCAGAGCCCCTGAGCGTCGAAGGGCAGCCAGCAGGGTCTCACGATGCGACGGGTATGGAGTCCGCAATCGCCGAGAGGATGTCCGACGTCTCGCTCGGATAGGCAAAGACAACGAGAAATCGGTATCATCGCACGAACATGCGATTGTATTTCATAAGTTCTGGCCTCGAATTATCCATTACGAGAATATGAACTGCGGTAAATTCTAAATCTAGTTGCTGAGACTGCTCGCGAAACAGCGCTCGTCCGCCAAGTAATGGAGGACAGCCCAGCAGCCTCAACCTGAATGAGTATTTTTTATTCGATTTTGATAAAGCCAGCTATTTAGCAAAAATCGAGAAATATATCGATTGTCGAGTTCACGCACACACTAATCCACCCAACGAACAGAAACAGGCTTCGCGTGTAGGAAATGATCTAAGCCTTGCCGGCCACTCGACTTTAACTATAAGTTAACCTGAAGGTTAGGAACGTAACCCTTCGTGGATCTCCACAGATCCAGGGGATTCAGTTAGGTTCAAGTTTGCGAACACAGAGAAAGAGCCGTTAGACCGGACTAAAGCAAACCGCAGCGAAGCAGCGAAAGCTGTGATCGGCAGAAACGCTGTCAGGTTCCGGGATGACACAGGGGGCGAGTCCGTGAACGCACCGACTATCGAAGGGCGGCGGTTGAGCGCACTCAGACCAAGCCGCATCTCAATGCCGGCTGAAGCTGAGATCTCAGTTGCGCGCCTGAGCCCCGATATCATGGCAAGCGAGAGTGGCTTGCGGCGGACGCTCCTGGAAGCCGGCTACCATGTAAAGCTGGTCGATACCGTGGCCTACTGGCGGTCTCTCCATCAGCGTGGACAGCTACCCAGCCGAGCCGACATCGATCCCGCACAGATACGGACTCTCCTGCCATGTCTCGCGTTGCTCGACGCGCAAACTCCCGACGGCGCGCCCCGCTATCGTTTGGCGGGTACCGGTGTCGTTGAACTCTTCGGCCAGGAACCTACAGGACGGCCGGTCGCTGCAATCGAAGGTCCGTTGCGCGACTTCCTGCTGGAGTCTTGGCAGAGCCTCGGTGCAGGCGAGATGGCCGCGCGCGACCGGGAAGGCGGCGTTGAACGAGAGCACGGCTGCAAACGAGAGGAAGGGCGACTTGCCACCTTTCGTGACGACGACGACCAACTCGGGAGTCTCTATCGCTACGAGGGAGCCTTCTTGCCGCTGTCAGGCACAAAGCAGGGCGGTGCGCGTGTTCTGCTCTGCCTGCTGCGCCGCTTCATAAGCGATGCAACGGCGCCCACCAGTCTGGATCAGCCGAGACTCTTCAGCCAACGAGCCTGACTCGGGTTTCAGCCGTACCTGGGCCGATTGACCGGGATTCGGCAGACCGAGAGACTCCGCCTTCGAACCTGTCTGTTCGCGATTGAGCCGGCGATCGTCTTCGTCTAGGCCCGTCGCCATGCAGCAATGGCAGCCACCCGACGCAGACCGTCAGCGGCCTGCTCGAGTTCAACCGCCGCAGTCGGATCCTCAGGCTCGCATGCGAAGCGGTGAGCCGCGGCCCGATAACGCTTCCAAGCCTCTCGCCGAAAGGTTCCAGGCTCACGCGGGCGGCTGGGCGGGACTGGCTGGAAGTCAGACTGAGGGACAGGACTAGGCGACATCGCTGCGGTCTCCCTATCGTTTGTCGTTACCCGAGCTTCCCTCTCCCCATTCGCTTCCCAGTATGCCAGACCACACCTCTGTTGGCACGTAACCGCTCTATGACAATCCCACCGATCAAGGTTCGATGGCGAGAGGAGCGTTCACGCCTCAGGCGATCCGGCTCCAGCCGCAAGCCGGAAACGGCGTGGCCCTGCGGATGAAATCTTTAGTGATTTCACGCAACTCACCGCCGGCCACTATGCTGATGTTCATGAGAACTGGTGAGACGCGGGATCAGCGCTACACGCAGGCCGAGGAGGTCGTGCATGCCGCACTGCATGGTTTCGGCGCCGTCGCCAGCGTCGGCGGTCTGATCTTTCTGCTCTGGCTGGCGTGGGAACGCGACAGCGCCGCGGCAACTCTGGCGGCAACGGTCTACGGCAGCAGCCTGGTTCTCTGCTACTTGGCCTCAACGCTTTACCACGGGCTGCCGCCCGGCCGGGCGAAACGCTTCTTCCTGGTGTGCGACCACTGCGCCATCTACCTACTGATCGCCGGCACCTACACGCCCTTTACCTTGCTGGCTCTTGACCCACCGATCGGTACGGCACTGTTTGCGGCCGTCTGGGCGCTCGCCCTGGCAGGGATCGGGTTGGAGGTCCTCACCCGGTTGCTGCCACGCGGCCGACGGATCGCGTGGCTGTCCGTGCCGCTCTACCTCGGTATCGGCTGGTTGGGACTGGCAGTCGCAGGCGAGGAGATCGTCGCGTCTCTGCCGCCGACAGGACTGGACTTGCTGGTCGCCGGGGGACTTCTCTACACGGGTGGCGTGGTCTTCTATCTCTGGCGACGTCTACCCTTCAACCATGCCGTTTGGCACGGCCTCGTGCTCATCGCCAGCGCGGCACACTTCGTCTCCGTAGCGGCCTACGTTATGCCGGCGACCGCCTGACCCCGGCCTGACCCCTGTCGTCTGTCGCCTGTCGCTGGACAGCTCAGTCTCCAGCAGTTCAATCCATGATCGAGTAACCGCCGTCGATGTAGGCGAGCGTTCCTGTCGAGGCCGCGGCTTCGTCGCTTGCCAGATAGACAGCCAAGGCTCCGATCTCTTCAATCGTCACAAGCCGCTGCCCAGGCGCCCTTTCGCGGGCCTGGTCCATCAGGGTTTCGAAGCGATCGAGCCCGCTCGCCGCCCGCGTCAGCAGGGGGCCTGGCGAAATCGCATGGGCACGGATGCCTTTCTCCCCCAACTCGGCCGCCATGTAGCGGGTTGCAGCCTCCAGCGCCGCCTTGACCGGTCCCATCAAGTTGTAGTGCTGCACGACCTTTTCCGCACCGTAGAAGGTCACGGTCATCAAGCACCCGCCACCAGCTTTGGCCATCAGAGGTTCAGCCAGCTTGGCCATGCGAATGAAGGAATGGCAGGACACATCCATAGCCTGCTGAAAACCGGTTTGACTGCAATCGACAACGCGGCCGTGCAGATCCTCCTTTGGCGCGTAAGCGATCGAATGCAGTAGAAAATCGAGCTTGCCCCAACGGGCCTCAATTTCGGCGAATACGGCCTCCAGTTGACCGGGTTCACGAACGTCGCAGGGAACCACGATATCGGCTCCCAAGTCGTCCGCCAGGGGTCGCACGTAAGGTTCGGCCTTCGCGTTGAGAAAGGTCACTGCGAGGTCCGCGCCCTGTCGGCGGAACTGACGGGCACAGCCGTAGGCAATCGACTTGTCGTTGGCGATCCCGACCACGAGACCGCGCTTACCTTCCAACGAGAACATCACCTCTCCTTCGCAGATGCAGCATTGCTGGCAATTTAACGCGTTCGTTTGACCTGTCGATGACGGCGGACTGGTTTGGCGGGAAAACCGGCTGGAATAAGTCTGGTTTTGCAGACAAGAAGCTCTTAGAACAGCTTTTCAATGCCTGAGTTTTTATTATGAACTATTTACTACTATTGGATGCAATCTGAAGCATCAGCGCGTTCGCCGTGTTGACAGGCTTCACTCCCAAAACCGCCGGCCGCCAGGAAAGGAAGGGAAACACAAACCACTTTCGCCGAGCCTGCAGAGACATTGCCGCGCAGTCTCGGCCCTATACGACTGTGGTTCGATGCTAGCCTAGAAATCGGAGCCGCCACCGTGACCGCCGACGCCATCACTGCAGAAGGCGCTACCGCAGGAGTCGCCACTGCCGGAGCTGATCTTCCGATCAGGCCACCGCTCCCGCAAGACTGGCCCCCTCTCGATCCCAACACCTTAAAGCTCGCCGCACAGCTGATACGTCTCTGCGAGGCGTCGAACATCCTCCTCGATATCCAACTGGGTCCGCAGGCCTGGGTCGAAACCATCTCAGAGCAGGGCGGATGGCTTAACCCGACCTTCGATCCGGCGTGCTCGGATCTCGACGCCAGCAACAGCGGTTCGGTCGTACTGCGGGAGACCGGCGGCCGCTTCCTGGCCTGCAACGCCGTGCGCTTCTTCGAAATCGAGAGCTTCGCGGCCCTCCTGCGGAGCGGCGGACTGTTTCACCGACAGGGACACAGAAACCGAACGCCGACGGTCCCGATCCTGCCGAGGGCCTACGATCTGAATGGCAGAATCTCTTATTCCGGAGGTACGCTCGTCGACCCTACCGCACGTGGACGGGGGCTGGCTTTGCTGACGACCCGCTTGGTGCGTTTGATTGGCGAACGCTTCTTCCGAGCGGATTGGCATACCGGAACGATTTTCCATACGCGCGCAGGCGCACTGCCCTCGAAGCCCTACGGGTTCCAGCGAGTCGTCCCTTGTCTGGAAGCCCTGACAATTCCCGAACGGCCGCAACCTCAGACACTCTTCCTTGTCGAGCTCAGCCGTTTGGAGTTCCGCCGGCAACTCGCCGACAACGTCATGCGCCTAGCGACCGAAAGCCGCCAGAACCTCCACGACCTCGCCCTGCTGACCTGAGCGGAGCGGGAGCAGAACCAACAGACGCTCTGCACCGGCCTCTAGTGTTAGGCGGTAACGGGCCGGGCGAAGATGCAGGCGCGGCCCGGCGGCAGCCCGAACCAGTGCCGCAACGACGGCCGGCGGTCGCCCGGACTGGCTAGAGTTCAGAAACTCCGTCCGCGCCGTCATGCCGCAAGCCAGAAGATCTTGTCGCCGAAACCGCGATACCGGTGGCAGATGGGGGGCGGAATGCGCGGCTTCCGCATCGTAGAGTGCAAGCAGCCGTAGCAATCCCGGATCGTCCCGCGCTGCGGCTGCGAAGCAATCAGACGCAATCGCCTGGAGCCGAACCCCGGAATGACTGGAACGGCTCCCCTCCGTGCCAACGACTGGAACGGTCACGCAAGACACCCGGTACAAACCCGATCTGCCGTCAGGACTGAGGCGCCCCTGGAAGAATTGCAAGCGTCCCTCGAGAGGCCTGCTGCCGGACCGGCAGAATCTCCCGATATTCTGGAGAATCGTAAAAGCGCTGAGCTGCCGCCTCGTCGGGAAACTCGATCACAACCACGCGTGGCGCCGGCCAATCCCCTTCAAGCACTTTGGGATCTCCGCCGCGCACCAGAAAGCGACCGCCATACTGTGCGATCACTGCGGGTGTGCGTGCACGATAGCGGTCGTAGATCTCCTTATCGTCGATATCGACCAGCCCCATGATGTAAGCGGGCATCGGCATCCTCTTTCGCTTTTTGAACAGCGCCCCACACACCGGCTTTGCCCGGCGCGTAGCCGTATGATTTCATTCGACTCGTAACAAAACAAGGCAGAGGCGGAAACGATGCGGTTGACCGACAAAGTCGCGATTGTCACGGGCGGTGGCTCCGGCTTCGGAGCTGGCATAGCAAGGCGCTTCGCGATCGAAGGCGCTCAGGTCGTGATCGTCGATATCGACCGCGCCGCGGCCGAGGCTGTGTTGCAGGAGATCGGTGGCAACGCCGTAGCGGTCGAAGCGGACGTTACGCAACGCGACCAGGTGGCGCGCATGATCGACACTGCGGTGGACCAGTTCGGCAGCCTCGACATCCTGGTCAACAATGCGGGCTACAGCCACCGCAACGCTCCGCTCCTCGAGATCACCGAAGCCGACTACGACCTTTGTTTCGACGTCAACGTGAAGGCGATCTTTCACGCCACGCAACTGGCCGTCCCGGTCTTCCGCAAGCAAGGCGGCGGGGTGATCGTCAACACCTCGTCGACAGCCGGTATTCGGCCCCGCCCGGGTCTGAGCTGGTACAACGCCTCGAAGGGCGCCGTGAACACCTTGACCAAGTCACTGGCCGTGGAGTTGGCGCCAGACCGGATCAGGGTCAACGCGATCTGTCCGGTCATCGGCGAGACGGGTTTGCTGGAAACTTTCATGGGCGTCGCCGACACCCCCGATGCCCGCGCCAAGTTCGTGGCGACCATTCCACTCGGACGCCTGTCCACGCCGCAGGACATCGCGACAGCCGCCGTGTTCCTGGCCAGCGACGAGGCTGCCTTCATCACCGGTGTTTTGATGGAAGTGGACGGCGGTCGCTGCGTGTAACCGTTGCGGAGCCGCCCCCCGGCTCAGCGCGTCGGAACCGGCTTGTCGCCGCTGTAGTCGTAGAAACCTCGGCCCGATTTCCGGCCAACCCAGCCCGCTTCGACGTACTTCACCAACAAGGGACAGGGCCGATACTTGGAATCGGCCAAGCCTTCGTAAAGCACGTACATGACCGCCAAGCAGGTATCCAAGCCGATGAAGTCGGCCAGTTCCAACGGCCCCATCGGATGGTTGGCACCGAGTTTCATTGCGACATCGATGGCCTCTACCGTGCCGACACCCTCATAGAGCGTGTAGACGGCTTCGTTGATCATCGGCAGCAAGATGCGATTGACGATGAAAGCCGGAAAGTCCTCGGCCGCAACCGGCGTCTTCTTCAGCGCTTCGGTGACTTCGCGGACACGCTGAAAGCAGTCGTCCGAGGTCGCGATACCGCGGATCAGCTCGACCAGCTGCATGACCGGCACCGGGTTCATGAAGTGCATGCCCATGAAGCGTTCCGGCCGGTCCGTGATCGCGGCCAGGCGCGTGATCGAGATCGAGGAGGTATTGGAGCAAATCAATGCGTCGGGCTTCAAAACCGGGCAGAGCTTGACCAGGATATCGCGTTTTAACTCTTCATTTTCGGTAGCGGCCTCGATGACCAGTTCGCAGTCCTCGAACAGGCCCATCTCGGTGCCTGTTCTAATGCGCTCCAGCGCGCCATCTCTGTCGGACTGGCTGAGCCGCTGCTTCGAGATCTGCCGATCCATCTGGCGGGTAATGCCCGCCAGCGACTTCTCGAGCGCGTCCTCGGCAATATCCTGCAACCGGACTTCATAGCCCGAGAGAGAGCAGATCTGTGCGATGCCACTCCCCATCTGCCCGGCGCCGATGATTCCGATGGTGCTGATCTTTTCAGGATAGAGCGGTGCGTTAGCGGTATCGGACATCGACTGTTGGGTCCTTGGTTGCGCTGAGACCTCCGGAGGTCACGCGGATTTGCCGAGTTCTGCTTCCAGCTCCGGTACGGCCTGGAAGAGGTCTGCTACGAGGCCGTAATCGGCGACCTGGAAGATCGGTGCCTCTTCGTCCTTGTTGATCGCCACAATCACTTTCGAATCCTTCATGCCGGCGAGGTGCTGGATCGCACCCGAGATACCGACGGCGATGTAGAGATCCGGCGCCACCACCTTGCCGGTCTGCCCGACCTGATAGTCGTTGGGCACGTATCCGGCATCGACCGCGGCACGACTGGCACCGACAGCGGCGCCGAGCCTGTCGGCGAGCGTTTCGAGCATCGCAAAGTTCTCGCCGTTCTGCATGCCACGGCCGCCGGAGACGACCACACGAGCCGACGTCAGCTCAGGGCGTTCGGACTCGGTCAGCTCATGGCCGACGAAGCTAGAAAGGCCAGGGTCTTCGGCCGGCGCGGCCTCCGCAACTTCAGCGGCACCGCCCTCGCCTGCAGCGGCGTCGAAGGCCGTTGCTCGGACCGAGAGAAAGACAATCCGGTCTTGAGTCTGAACCGTGGCCAGAGCGTTGCCGGCATAGATCGGACGCACGAAGGTGTCGGTGCCCTCGACCGCAGAGATGTCGGAAATCATCTGCATGTCGCAGAGCGCGGCCGCGCGCGGAAGCACGTTCTTGCCAAAGGTCGTATGGCCAACCAGAACATGGCTGTAGTCGGCCGCCAGTTTGGCCACCAGAGGAGCCACTGCCTCCGCCAGGCTATGGGCATAGGCCGGCGCCTCCGCCTTCACGACCTTCGTGACGCCTTCGATCTTTGCGGCCTCATTCGCCGCCTCGGCGCAGGCATCGCCCGCGACCAGGACGTGAATCTCGCCGGCACCCGCTTGCGATAGAGCCTTGGCGGCCGCAACCGTGTTGAGGACCGGCCCCTTCAGAGCGTTGTTTTCCGTCTCGGCGACGACCAGAACAGTCATGATCCGGGGTTCCCTCGCGTATGTTCTAGATGACCTTGGCTTCGGCCTTCAGCTTCTCGACCAGATCGGCCACGCTTGCGACCTTCACGCCCGCCTCACGCGCCGGCGGCTCCGCAACCTTCAGAACCTGGGTTCGGGGCGCCACATCCACGCCCAACTCCGCCGGGGTCGTGGTCTCGATCGGCTTCTTCTTGGCCTTCATGATGTTCGGCAGACTGGCGTAGCGAGGCTCGTTAAGCCGCAAGTCCGCAGTGACGACCGACGGCAACTTGAGATCCACCGTTTCCAAACCGCCATCGATCTCGCGAGTGACCGTCAGTTTTCCATCGCTCGCCTGGATCTTGCTGGCGAAGGTTCCCTGAGACCACCCGAGCAAGGCCGCCAACATCTGACCGGTCTGGCTATGATCGCTGTCGACGGCCTGCTTGCCGAGCAGAACGAGTTCGGGCTGTTCCTTCTCGGCCACGGCCTTCAGCAGCTTGGCGATACCGAGCGGTTCGAGAGCGTCGTCGCTTTGAATGAGGATACCGCGGTCGGCTCCCATCGCCAGCGCCGTACGAATCGTCTCCTGACTCGACTGCGGACCACAAGACACCACGACGATCTCGCTCGCCGTTCCAGCCTCCTTCAGGCGCACCGCCTCTTCCACGGCGATCTCGCAGAAGGGGTTCATCGACATCTTCACGTTCTGCGTTTCGACACCGGACCCATCCGCTTTCACACGGACTTTCACGTAGGCATCGATCACGCGCTTGACCGGGACCAGGACCTTCATCGGCGTTCCGCTTCCGCTCTTTATCTACACTGTCCGCAGGATGAAATCTCACGGCCGGAAACCCAGCGCGCCCGCCGTTCGCTTTCGACTGGAGCAAAAGTAACGTCAGATCGGGGCCGAAGCGCCGTCATCCTCCGACTCTTCGCGGTCGCAACATAGAAGTGGGTCAGAGGCAAGTCAATCTCGCCACAGGGGGCGGGAAACCCGCCAAAAGCGGCAATCGCCGCCGACGTCTTTCGGCATCGCTCTTGGCGAGCCACCGTACGCTTTCCGCCCCTGACAGCCGCTGGTTCGGAAAACTCCAGCAAGCCATGCGGCAAAGCCTCCTCTGGGGCCAGATCAGCGGTTGGCACCGGGCACCCAGAGCACGTCCATGCGGCCCTGATCATTCTCGTGGCGGGCCATCACGAACAGAAGATCGCTCAACCGGTTTAGGTAGCGTACCGGCTGGGCACCCACCGTCTCCAGTTCGGCCAAGGCCGTGGCATCGCGCTCGGCCCGGCGGGTGACCGTGCGCGCGAGATGAAGGTAGGCCGCAGCCGGCGAGCCGCCGGGCAGAATGAAGGAGTTCAACGGCTCCAGATCGGCATTCAAACGGTCGATCTGCTGTTCGAGCCAAGTGACCTGGGCCTCGACAATGCGAAGCGGCTCATACTCCAAATCTGGGTCGTCAGGGGTCGCCAAGTCGGCACCGAGGTCGAAAAGGTCGTTCTGGATCCGCGCGAGCATCGCATCGGCCTCCGGCCCGCAGTGCAACCGGGCCAAACCGAGGGTGGCGTTGGCCTCGTCGACCGTCCCGTAGGCAGCAACACGCGGATCGTGCTTCGGGACCCGCTTGCCGTTGCTGAGCGACGTCTTGCCCTTGTCGCCGCCGCGCGTGTAGATCCGTGTCAACTGCACCATGGCGTCAGCCGCCCTTGCCGACGAGCAAGGCGACGGCAAAGAGCGCCAACGCGATACCCTGACAGACAATCCGGTAGCGCATCAGCTTGTTGCCCCACTTGGCATTGAAGCTGCCGCCGCGCGCCATGGCCAGGAGGCCGGTGAAGAGAACGCCAAGCGTAATCAGCATGGCGATCAGGATGAGAACGAGCATGGTGGTCTGCATGGCCGAAGAATATACGTCGCCGCCGGCACGACACCAGGGTTAGCAGAAAGGCCCTACTTCGCCGCGGCGTCGAGCGCGACCGCCCTGTCGGCGGGTTCGCGTGTCCAGGACGAGGACCCGACCCCGCGCGGATCGTCGGCCAACAGCCCGTAAAGCACGTGATCCTGCCATTGTCCCGCGATACGGAGGTAATCGCGGCCCCGGCCTTCCTCTTGGAACCCGATCTTCTCCAGTAGACGGCGGCTCGCGACGTTATGCGGCAGACAGGCGGCTTCGATCCTATGAAGCCCCAGACCGTCGAAAAGATAATCCAGGGTCAGCAGAAGCGCCTCGGTCATCAGTCCCTGCCGGGCTTGCCGCTCGCCGACCCAGTAGCCGAGACTCGCCGTTTGCGCCACGCCGCGACGCAGGTTGGTGACGCTGATGCCGCCAAGCAGCCGCTCGTTGCGCAGATCGAAGATGAACAGCGTCACTCCAAGCCCTTGGCGCCATTCGGCCGCCTGTTGGCGCAAGCGGCGGCGGTAGGCCGCGCGCGTCAAGGCATCGTGCGGCCAAGCCGGCTCCCAGGGCATCAAGAACTGACGGCTGGCATGGCGCAATGCAGACCAGGCCCGCCAATCCCGCGACGTCGGCTGGCGCAGCAGAATCCGTGCCCCGGTCAGCTTCGGCCCCCGTGGGCCGGTATCGCCGATCAGGGCTGGGAAGAGCATGCGCAGCGAGCCTACTGGGCCGCCGTCGCGGCACCGCCGAAGCGCGCAGCGAAGCTGTCATAGGACGTGAGGCCGTCAACCGGTCCCAGCAGCGCCAGAGTTGGCTTCCCCCCCAACATAGTGGCCGCGCAGCGCCGCAGGCGTGCCGCATCGAGCGCGTCGAGTTCCGCCACGATCTCGCTGACCGGGATCGACCGGCCGAAGATCTGCAGGTGACCGGCAAGCTGTTCGGCCCGCGCGCCCGTGCGCTCCCGACTCATCAGGATAGCCGCCTTGAGCTGCGCACGGGTGCGCTCGACTTCCTCAGGCGTGATGTCCTGAGCGGCCCGTTCGAGTTCCTGACAGACCGTATCGAGAACCTCTTGCGCCTCCCCAGCCCCGGTCCCGGCATAGACGCCGAACAGGCCACTGTCCGATGCCGCTGAGAGGAAGGAATAGATCGAGTAGACGAGTCCCCGCTCCTCACGGACTTCCTGGAAAAGACGCGAAGACATGCCGCCGCCCAGAAGCGTAGAGAGCGCCGAAACGGCATAGTAGTCCGGGTCCTGCATGCCGACGGAGTCGAAACCGATCAGCAGATGCGCTTGTTCCAGATCCCGCACCTGCCTGTGTTCTCCGCCCAGATAGCGGGCGGGTTCCGCGCGCGCAGCCGTGCAGGCGGGAAGGTCGCCGAACAGTTCCTCGGCCAGGCGATGCAACCGGTCGTGCTCGATCCGGCCGGAGGCGACCAGTACTGAAGAGTCGGCGGCATAGCTGCCGGTCAGGTAGCCACGAAGGTCGTCCGCCGAGAGGCTGCTGACCGTCTCCGGCGTCCCCAGGACCGGCCGCCCAAGACCCTGGTTCGGATAAGCGGCCGACTGAAAGTCGTCGAAGATGATGTCGTCCGGGGTATCGACGGCCTGGCCGATCTCCTGCAGAACGACCTGCCGCTCGCGCTCCAACTCGCCGGCGTCGAGACGGGGATGCAGCAACATGTCGGCAACGATGTCCAGGGCCAGCGGTGCGTCGTCGGCCAGCACCTTGGCATAGAAAGCGGTCGTTTCACGGCCCGTGTAGGCGTTGAGATGACCGCCGACGGCCTCGATCTCCTCGGCAATGGCCCGGGCGCTGCGCCGTCCGGTACCCTTGAAGACCATGTGCTCCAACAGGTGGGCGACACCGTTGATCTTGGCCGACTCGTGGCGCGCACCGACACCGACCCAAAGGCCGACGGAACAGGTCTCGACTTCGGCCATGGCGTCGCTGGCAACGGTCAGGCCGTTGGGCAACTTCGTGATCGTCACGGTCATACGACGCTAAGTCCTTTCGCGTGCGCGCGGACGTGGGCGCGCAGGGCGTTCAAATCGTTCGGTAGCTCGATCACCCGTTCCGGCCGGTCGTAGAGATCCGACAGACGCTCCGGCAAGGGCGGCCGAACGCCGGTCGATTGCTCGACGGCATCGGGAAACTTCGCGGAATGGGCGCACGCCAGAGATATGGTCGCAACACCCGGATCGGCCAGCGCTCGTGCCGTGCCCAGACCGACCGCGGAGTGCGGATCCAGGATCTCCCCGGTGGCGGCGTAGGTCTCGCGGATCTCAGCTACCGTGCCGGGATCGTCGAGACGGAAGCCACGAAAGATCTCGGAGACCTGAGCCATACGTTGAGGCGTCAGACGGTAGCATCCGTCGCTGCGAAAGGCCGTCATCAACTGCGCGACCTCGGCCCCATTGCCGCCCGTAAGATCGAACAGCAGCCGCTCGAAGTTGCTCGATACCTGGATGTCCATGGAGGGCGAAAGGCTCGGCTCCACCGACCCGATCCGCATCTCACCTTCCTCAAAAAACCGCGCGAGGATGTCGTTTCGGTTCGATGCAACGAACAGCCTCTCGATCGGCAGTCCCATCTGCCGCGCGGCATAGGCGGCATAAACGTTCCCGAAGTTTCCGGTCGGCACCGAAAAACAGACCCGCCGATCCGGCGCGCCCAAGGCCAAAGCGGCCGCGAAATAGTAGACGATCTGGGCCATGATCCGGGCCCAATTGATCGAATTCACAGCCGAGAGACCAAACTCGTCTCGGAAAGCTTCGTCTGCGAAAAGGGCCTTCACCAGATCCTGGCAGTCATCGAAGCTGCCGTCGATCGCTATGGCATGCGTGTTGCGCGCCGCAATCGTCGTCATTTGACGACGTTGCACCTCACTGGTGCGGCCTTTCGGGAAGAGAACGAAGATGTCGAGATGACCGCGATCTCGGCAGGCCTCCAATGCGGCCGAGCCGGTATCGCCGGAAGTGGCCCCGACAATCGTCAGTCGCCGCCGGCGCCGCGCGAGAACGGCATCGAACAGCCGGCCGAGCAGTTGAAGCGCAACATCCTTGAATGCCAGCGTTGGACCATGGAACAGCTCAAGCAGCCAGAGATCGGCGTCGAGCTGCTTAAGCGGTGTGACGGCGCTATGGTCGAAAACGCCGTAGGACTCGGCGACGATCTGCGGGAAATCCTGTTCGATCACGGAGCCGGCGACGAAGGGCTGCATCACCGCTGCGGCAAGCTCGGCATAGGGCTTGCCACGCAAGGACCGCAAGGTCTCCGCCGAGAACCGAGGCCAGCTTTCCGGCAGATAGAGACCGCCGTCGCGCGCCAGCCCCGTCAGCAAGACGTCGTCGAAGCCCAAATTCGGCGCCGTGCCGCGGGTTGATCTGTAGCGCATCGGCTGTCGCCGCCTCTTTGAACCGTCCCATTGAACAGATTTCAGTCTACGGCGTCGCAAAGGCCCGAAACAAGCAGCAGCACCCGGTCACTCGTGCGCAAACGCTTCGGCCTTCCCTAGCTCTCGCCCAAGTAGCGACGGCGCAGATGCGCTTCGAAGATCTTGGGATCGAGCGGCTTTCCGGTGGCACGAACGAGAAGTTCTTCAGAGGAGAAACGGGACCCTTGTTCGTGAACGTGACGCCGCAGCCAGGCCAGCAGGGTCGAGAAATCGCCCCGCTCCAGCTGTTCCGGAATCTCCTGGTGCGCCCGGCAGGCAGCTTCGAAGAGCTGCGCGGCGGTCATGGCGCCGAGGGTATAGGTCGGAAAGTAGCCCCAGGCTCCGTCGTACCAGTGAATATCCTGGAGGCAGCCCCGGCGGTCGTCCGGCGGCGTGATGCCCAGCAGAGCTTCCAGTTGCTCGGCCCAGGCGCCAGGTAGATCCGTCAGCGCGAGCCGTTCTTCGATGAGTGCCTTTTCCAGCCGGAAACGCAGGATCACGTGTGCCGGATAGGTCACCTCGTCCGCATCGACCCGGATGAAGTCCGGTTCCACGCGGGTATAGAGACGGTAGAGGTTTTCCGCGCCCCACTCCGGACCCGATCCGGCGAAGGCGCTACGGGCTCGCGGTGCCAGGTATTCGACGAACTCGCGCGACCGGCAGGCCTGCATCTCCATCAGCAGAGACTGGCTTTCGTGGATCGACATGCCGCGTGCTTCGCCCACGGGCTGGCGTCGCCATTCGCGAGGTAGGCCGCGTTCGTAGAGGGCATGACCGGTCTCGTGCAGCACGCCCATCAGACCGCTGACGAAGTCGTTCTGGTCATAGCGCGTGGTCAGCCGAACGTCCTCCGGCACGCCGCCGGTGAAGGGATGCGCCGAGGTGTCGAGGCGGCCGTGACGGAAGTCGAACCCCACCGCCTCCATCAGTTGACGCGCTAGCTGGGCCTGGGCCTCCGTCGGGAAAGGCCCCGCTGGCAGAACGGGGGCTTCCTGGCGTTTCTGAAGCTCAAGAACCTCGCCCAAGAGTCTCGGAAGGCTCTGGGCCAGCGCATCGAACAGGCGCTCGATAGCTGCCGCATTGCCATCGGGTTCGTACTGATCGAGCAAGGCATCATAAAGCGACTTACCCAGCACCTCCGACTTCGCCTGACCGGCCTCGCGGGTCAGGTCAAGCACCTCCTGCAGGGCCGGCCGCACCCCGGCGAAGTCGTTGGCTGGCCGCGCCTCACGCCAGAGGCCTTCGCAGGCGTGGCAGGCGCGGCGCAGAGCTTCGACCAACCTGGCAGGCAGGGCGGTGGCGTGACTGTGGGCACGGCGCATCTCCCGCAAGTTGGCACGGCGCCAGTCGTCGAGATCCTCAACCTGCGCATCCGCAGCAGCCAGCCAGTCGGCCACCGCGGGATCGACCAGCAGTTCGTGCGCCATCAGACTGAGCTGCGCGAGTTGCTCGCCTCGCGCTTCGGCGCCGCCGGAGGGCATCATGGCCGAACTGTCCCAGTGCAGCACGGCCATGGCCTCGTTCAAGGCTCCCAGGCGCGCAAAACGCGTTTCCAACCGGGTATAGGCCGTCTGTTCCGTCATGACTTCTCCCTCTCCTCAGCCGTGCCTATAACCTGGGCGTCGGCGTTCCCGTGAAAAAGGCCGTTCCGCTTTCTAGTGAGCAAGATCCCCTGATGACGAAGACCCCTGGACAAAACGGTGCGCGACGGCCCGGCCCGACGAAGGGCTATCGCATCGATAAACGCAAAGTGGCCTTCGCTATCGCACTGCTGTTGGCCTTCGTTGTCTTCGGCACATGGAACCTTATGCAAGCGGAAACCCCGACCGGGGATGCGCTGGTCGGCGGCGTGCTCATGGTTTTCTGCCTCGGCATGGCGAGCTTCCTTGCCCGAGACCTCAAGCGTGTCGGCACCGTCGTGGAAGTCGGGCCCGACGGCGTGCTGGATCTCCGCAACCAGGAAGGCCTGATCTCCTGGGACCGCATCTCCGGAGCGGAGATCAAGCGTGCCTCCATCGTTCGCGGCATCCGGCTGACGCTGGAGGACGGCAAACGTGTCGATATCGATACACAGATGCTTGAGGTGGACCGCAAGGAGTTGATGCGGGTGATCGCCGAAACCGGCCGACGGGCCGAGGCGGTCCGTCCGCATTAGAGCCGAATGGCCTGAGGTGGGAGCGCGGACCGGCCGGAGCGACCGAAGGTCGGACTATTCGAGTCGCAGTGCCGCCGCTCCCAGAACGCGCCTCGGTCCTTCCGTCTGGACAATGACGGCGGCGCCGGACCGGCCGGCGGCGCGCGCAGCGGCAAGATCGATCGACAACTCGGCCGAACTGCCGCTCCAGTCCCCCAATCGCCGATAGTCGCGCACCACATGCGCGTATCCGAGTGAACGTCCGGCGTTCTCTCCCCGCCGGACGTCGGTCTCATGCCAGCGATCGTAGAGCAGGAGCCAGACGGCGGCACCCTCTGCCGGTACAACGCCTTCGCCGATGCGCACGCCCTCCTCCGTCAGATCGACGGCGACGGCAGACGGCTGTCCTCGGGCCATCGTCAGCGCGTTGGCGACGGATCGCGGCCGCGATCCAATGACGTCGTAGGTGCCGTCGACGACCATCTGCGGCGTGTAGACGGTTCGCCGGTCCAAGGATCGCGCATAGGCGCGCTGGCGCTGCGTCAGCGACGCGAGCGCGAAGGGATCCTTCCAGCCGATGTAGTCCCAATAGTCGACGTGCAGAGAGAGTGCGATCACGTCGTCGCGCTCGGCGAGTTCAGCCAGCAAGGCGTCAGCCGGCGGGCAGGAACTGCAGCCTTGACTGGTGTAGAGCTCGACCACGACAGGCGCACGCGTCTCGGCAGCCCCGGCGGTCTGAAGCAGCAACAGACCTGACAAGGCGGCGGAGACGAAGATCTTGAGCGGTTCGGACATGCAAGCAGCCTAGCCGCGAGGCCCTGTCACACTGAAATCACCAAGGGGTGAGACTGGCGTGTTGATGGGCGCACAGAGTGCGCATTTTTACGTGCGCGACTCCGCGAGTCTCTATTACAGTTTCATTAAGGAATAGTCGCCGAGACTTAGCCGTTTCCATAACTCAGCGGCTCTGCCGCGCGTGGGACAGGAGGCGCCCGATGTTCCGCCTTTGCCTTTTCGTGATCTGTCTGTCCGCAGCCGGCATGAGCCTGACGTCCACCGCGATTCGCGCGGACGCCGGTGAGTCTCCTGGACGGCACGCCGAAAACCCCGCCGAGGTCCGCACGCTTGCCTGCTTCCTGCTCAACAGCATGACGCGCAGCGCCGCCGACCTGAAACGGCGGGAGGACTTGCTTCGCAGCGCGATCTCGACGGGATGCCTCGGCCTGCCGGAAGCTAGCCCCTTTCGGGGCGGCAGCCTGCCCAAGGCACAAGCTTCGAAGGAGCGAGCGGACCTGCAAAGCCGCAGGGAACGAGATGCGGCCGACCCGCAGTTCCGCCAGTGCCTGCTTTGGGCCTACACCGGTTATCCGAGCGGACTGGAAGAAAGCCGCTGTGCCTTCAACTTTCAACTTCTGCCGAGCGGCTTCGGGTTGGCTTGCGAGGCCTACCTGAAGGATGGCTTCCCGACCCCCCTGGACCGAAAGGCCTGCCGGCAGTTTTGGCAAGACCGTCTGAGGGCGAGCGACCGCGTCGCCCCCTCCTGATGGATTCTCGCGTTGAACCGTAAGCAGCGGCTGGCAAGCCAAAGGCCGGAGCAGGTGATCGCTTCGTAGGCTTGGCCCCTTGGCGCTGGCTGCCAGTTTGGCTAGACAGTGGCGCGTCATGACCGCCCTACCCGGAACAGCCACAACAGAGTCAGTCTCCCCCGAGGAGGCGGACGCCAGCGCTCGTCCAGGTCCGCTGGCGGCCTATCGCGACGCGCGGAACAACGGCGCCTTGAAAGCGGATCCGGCTCAGGCACTTGCGGCGGAAAAGCTTGAAGCCTTGGCCCACGCCCTGCAGGGCTATCAGCTGCAAGGCAACGGATCATCCGCCTCGCCTCTGGCCAACTGGCGGGCCCGTCTCGGTCTCGGCCGCAGACCCAAGACCGTAGCGCCGCAAGGCCTCTATCTCTACGGCTCGGTGGGGCGCGGCAAGTCGATGCTGATGGACATCTTCTTCGCCGGAGTGCCGCTGAAACGGAAGCGCCGCGTTCATTTTCACGCCTTTATGGCCGAGACGCACGACCGTCTGCACGCCTGGCGGCAAGCCAGTAAGGGCCGCAAGACGGATCCCTTGCCGGAGATCGCCGAAGAGATCGCAGCCGAAGCCTGCCTTCTCTGTTTCGACGAGTTCGTGGTGGTCAATATCGCCGACGCGATGATTCTGGGCCGCTTGTTCGAGTCGCTCTTCGCGCGCGGCGTCGTGGTGGTGGCAACCTCCAACTTTCCGCCCGACCAGCTCTACGAGGGCGGCTTGCAACGCGCGCGTTTCAAACCCTTCATCGCCTTGCTTAAGCAGAAGCTTGACCTGCTCGATCTCGGCGAGGGTACCGACTATCGGCTGAGCCGACTCAAGGACCTGCCGGTGTTTCACGCGCCGCTTGGAGCCGAGGCCACAGCGGAGTTGGACAAGACGTTCCAGCGCCTGACGGAGGGGGCGGAGGCACAGCCGGCCAGCCTCACCGTCAAGGGTCGCCGGCTCGTCCTGCCGGCAGCGGCACGGGGCGTGGCCCGCAGCGACTTCGAGGCTCTCTGCGCCCAGCCGCTGGGTGCAGAGGACTATCTGGCCCTGGCGACTCACTTTCATACGCTCGTGCTCGACGGCGTTCCCCGCCTGACGGGGGCACAGCGGAATGAAGCGCGGCGTTTCATGACGCTGGTCGATGCGCTCTATGAGCACCGCGTCAATCTGATCATGGCCGCCGATGCGACACCGGAAGACCTCTACAGCGGCGACGACGGCGCCTTCGAGTTTCGCCGCACGGTCAGCCGACTGAACGAGATGCAGGCGGCCGACTACATCGCGAAACTGCACCTGACCTGAGAGAGGCCGACAGACGGCGCAGATGCTCCGGGCGGGCCCAGGCCAGATCGCAATCGATCGGCCCCACTGCGTGGTTCCGGCGATCGCCTGAATTCCGGTCTGGATTCAGATGTCTGGAGTTCGTTTCTTGTGATTGGTGAAACCTGGAAGCGAGTCGGCAGAATCCCGCTCTAGTCGGCCTGCCTGCGGAACGCACTGGCCGGATAGACGCCCAAGATCTTCACCTCGCGCGAGAAGAACCCGAGTTCTTCAAGCGCCAAACGGACCGGACGCTGCTCCGGATGACCTTCGATATCGGCGTAGAACTGAGCCGCCGTGAAGGCATCATCGATGATGTAGCTTTCCAGCTTGGTGATGTTGA